AACCGGCTCCGCCCAAGAACCAATCAGAAAGGGAGACCTTACTTCCCGCGCTAGTATTCAACAGAAAGCAAGCACTTTTGCACTCATACAACCATTGTCAGAAGAGGCGAAAGAAGAGGAAAGTGTATGAACTGAGGCTTGCCTCTACTAACTAGCATAATGCTAAATAATTATTTAGTGTTGTCTCATCAAACAAAGCCAGTTATAATTCTTTGCCTAAGTAAATCTGTGGATCTGCTTTTTTCAGAATCAAGATTATGCTAGTCATAATGATTTTCCTATTACCTGCATTGTTTTAAGTAGTAGAAAGTAATCTTCATTCTTAAATTTATTTGTGAAAGGCACTTTCTGTGATTCTAGGACTAGGTAGTTTTTCTTAGTGTACCACAAAAATTCTTGGTCCCACAGGGTTTAACAATTGTCATTACTTGTTTCTTCTGCCAAGTAAAGGAAATTAGAAAAAGCACATTTCACCCTCTTGTAGAGTTCAAGTGAGGTACAACTTAAAACCAGTATTTCAATGTAGGTTTGCAAATAAACCTTCAGAAAGTAAAGTAGGAGAGGAATATATTGCTTTTTGGTTTGATGGGGTTTATATTTCCCACTTCTATAGTACATTGAAAACCAATAATGTTGAAATTAATGAAACTGTACATCCCAACCTGACAATTTAGTGGAATGGGAATGCAATATTATACACCACAGTGTAACTAGGTAGCTCTAGGAATTTATCTGGCCCACATTCAATTATGATCTAATGTTAATGCAGGTTCTTATTAAAGTCTTTCCTGAGCTACAAAACTTCATGTGCATAAGAGTTATGCCTAGCGCTCATGCTTATGACAAAGGCTCAAGGTAGAGACATTGTGTATGGCCTTTTGCCCTGGGGCCTCCAGGCATAAATCACAGCTAAATAAACTAAGATGCAATTGCTTATGGAGTTGAACACTAGACTCCAAGAACACTTCAGAACCACTCTCAAATATGCATATCACATTTAATTTTTAAGTCAATGTTTATTCTTTTAATGTTTTCTGTTATTTTACATTTGGTTGTAAGCCGCCTAGAGCCATGATGGCGAACCTGTAGCACGTGGAGCCATATCTGCCAGCACACGAGCCATCAGGGAGGCCGTTTTCGCCATCCCCAGGCTCCAGGAAAGCCTCCGGAGCCTGGGGAGGGCAGAAAACGGGCCCAATGGGCCTACTGAACTTCTGGTAGGCCCACTGGGTCCATTTTTAACCCTCCCCAGGCTCTGGAGGCTTTCTTGGAGCCTCAGGAGGGTGAGAATGGCCTCCCACAGTCCCCCAGGAAAATACCAAGCGCAGCTTGGAGGTAAGCAGCGCGGCGTGCATGGGGGGGGTTGTGCATGCATGTGCATGTGGGGTGCGCTTTGCATTATGGGTGCTGGCACACGCACACGCTATTGCCTCCCCTCTGGGCGAAATAGGCAGCATATCAATTTAATTTTAAAAATTAAAAATTTGTTAAGCAGCTATAGCTCAAGGGCCAGTTTCATGTTTGGCCTGTTATATGATATTTCATAGCCAAGAAAACAAACTGATGGATCACAGAACAAAAATTCTGGGATCTTTCTCCCAGAATTCTCACTCAAGGCGCAATGACCAGGCACAAATTATTCTGTCAGTCCCATTATGCAAAGAAAATTCTAATGCTAGGAAAGGTGAAGGAAAGAAGACAACCAGTAGCAAGGTGGATAATCTCAGTTCCAGGGATGATGAGTACATCATTGTGTAGGAAGTTATCACCCAGCCCTCTCTCAGAAAAATGAAATATCCTAGGAAATATTGAAAAGGCTGAATATTTCTCTGGATGTGAAAAGAAAGAAACATGTTTTAAAAGACAGAATAGCTTCCTGTAGCTTCCTGTCCATTCCCACTTTGTCAATGGGCCATTAAGAAGGCCAAGCTAGTCCCTTTACATAATAAAGACTTCTTCACTGCAGCTCCAGGGAGATGGAATTAAAAGCATGATAATATTAGCCCTTTACTCAACTGACCACATGGCATCTGAGAACTCAACCAAACCTGGATTCAAAACACACCCTAGAGAGTTGCCCCTGCATGGCCCCATGGAGTCTGACAACCAATCAGAATACATTTCTTACACAGGAACAGGAAACAGAGAGGTGGGACTGAACAGGTTATAAAAAGCCTAACAAGCCCCTCCTTCAGCCCTTCTCTTCTTCTCCACCAACATTGATCACCTTTTCTGTTCAGGACTCAAGCCATGTGGTCCTGTCCACCAATAAACCATCTTTCCAAGCAGCCTCCATGCCTCCAGTGTCTTTTTCCCCACTTGGAGCCGAACCCAGAAGGACATTTCTTTCATCAGTTGGAAGACCTGAAAGACCAGTTTAGTCATAGATCATCCTGTACAAAAATCTATCAATGTGGTTGCTGAGTCAATAACGACTTGATGGCCCATCAATCAGTCAATGATATTTCAAAATTCTTCTGTATTCCTGAAGAAGATGTACACTAAAAACAGGGCAATTGCTCTACAGGGCAATAGAAACAGTGTTGTCTGTTACCTGATGTGTAAGTTGATTTAAATGAATTGAATGGTGAACTGAAGCCATTTCAAGATCCATTTCAGCAGGATGTCTATGGAGATTCTCAGTCATCCAGTTCAAGGCTGTCTCAAAGGTGGTTTTTCAAGAGGCAACTGGACTTTCTTGCCTGTATTTTGAAGACATTTTGCTTCTCACCCAAAAGCAAAACTTCTTCAAAAAAAAACATCAAGAAAGCTCAGTTGCCTTGTGAAAAAACATCTTTGGGACATTTTAGCAGGACTACTTTGTTGTTGTCCAATCATTCTGGAAGCACAATGATTATTCCCCACCCCCTTTTCAAATGCTTTTGTTACTATGCATATAGTCTAATGATCCCTGTAACTTGCCAGGAAAAAAGTTTATCCAACCTAGTACAAAACACATCTATGTACCTGAGCCTGTGCTGGCCTAGACTGCAGATCTACAGAAGCAGCTCAAAGCTTTGTAATCAAGAAGCAGCATGGAAAGTATCATTTTGATGGCCAAAGGAGGCAAACATGTCAGCTGCTCTGCAACCCCCCAAAAGTTACTTCGATGCTTAAAATAAGCCTTCTAAGCTGTTATTTGCCGTACATAAATATCTGATTCTCATTTTTAGTGGAGCGATAGAGAAATAGAGTAGAAAATGGGCTGGAGGTCTTTCAAAATATTAGCCCATGAGAAAGGTTACAGGGCTGTCATTTGAGTTTGCCCCTTACATAAGAAAGCGAGGTAAACATGTGCAGCACAGTATTGTATTAGATTGTGTAATGTAGGTAACTCCGCAAGAGATAAAAGTTGTTTGTTTGGGAAACGACCAATCGCGGGCTTCCATCTTTGCTCCTCCCTAATTAAAGAGCTCATAGAATTATGTCTTGAATGCAAACTTCCTCGACTTTTGCAGCCAGCAGGAAAAAAAAAAGCCCCTGCTAATGAGCCCCGTCACTGCAAAACTTCAAAGCGCGTCTTTCTCCTGCAGCAAATAACGTCGAAAAAAGGGAGCAGAGTCAGCCTGGAGCGCCCGGAAGGCTTTCGCGGCAACATCAAGCAGCCTCCGGAGCATCGACGGGCCCCGACAAAGGAGTTGACCAATAGAGAGCGAGCTCGATCGCCAGGGACTGTTCCAATTGGCGCAAAGGGCCGCCGCTCAAGCAAGTTCAGTGCACTTTGGAATCAAAGTTGGGGACTTTAGCCGAGTCCCTCGGCGAAGGCGCAACGTGGCGGGTTAGTGAAAGATGATGGGCGACGACGAAGGGGGTTGATGCTGAGGAAGGGGTGGTAGCCCAGTCGTTGTCTTGGCCTATAGTGAACAAGGGCGAGAGTGGGGAAGCCCCCCCCCACTTTCTACTCAGCAATGGGCACTCCTCCCAGCCCTTATAGCTCCATGGGGCTTTTGGGAGGAGCATTTGCTTTTCTTTAGGGATCCTTAGGTGTTGTGGCTGTTGTCTGAATCGTTCCGCCCCACCTGTTCTTGGCACTATTCTTGGGGTCGGGACGGGTTGTTTTGGAGAAAAACTATTAAGGAGCTTGCTTTTATGCAGGCGGCTCCTGAGATGCGAACCGGGTCTCCGCGATGCCATGTCTTTCTTAGCAGGCAATTTGCGACGCCGGATTGCCTTTTTCAGGGTGTGTGATTTCTGATTGGAGCGAGCAAATCCGGACTGCAAAACTCCAAATGGCCACTGGAGGGCAGCAAAGAGGGCGGAACCCTGCCAAACTGCAGGTTTTGAGATCTTGTAGCCCTTTGTTATTCCCTGTACCATGGTTAGATTGAATTCACCGAGAGAGCATCGTATTTCAAAGAAGTTCCCTGCTACCTATTTAAAAAAATCAAAAAGTCTTGCGTTTCTTTTTGCTACTTTTCTACATATGAATAAATGCTTTTACTGATTGCTTCATATTTGCCTACAGGCAGAAGCTTTTATACAAGGATGTGTTCAATGGCTATTTATTGTTTAGGGGAAGTATGTAAACTAATCATGCATTTCTCAGTCTGTTCCACTTATAAAACTCTTGTTCCTCTAGAACTGAAACTTAGGCCCTCCTTTACCTTTTTGCAGAAATGGCTGGCAAGAGTCAGGAGCAAACCATTCAAGAAGAATTGACCTGTTCTATATGCTATGAGCTCTTCAGGAACCCTGTCATGCTGGAATGCATGCACCATTTTTGTAAAGAGTGTATCGAGAAATATTGGAATGGATGCCCCAGAATTGCCACTTGCCCCCAGTGTCGGCAAAAGTGTCCTTCCCGATCCTTTCATCCTAATTTCATTGTATCTAATATAGCGGAGAAAGTTCGAAGATCTGCCTCCGAGGAGCACAGAAGAAAAACCAAGGTCAGTAACCAGTAACAATTTTCCTTGATCATCTGGCCGGTAGCATGTTTAATATGTGGCACATTGCAGTAGAGATCCAGTTTGGGCATCTGGCTATAAATCAGGACAGTGGTGGGTTCACAAAAAAATTTGGAATCTACTCTGTGGGTGTGGCCTCCTTTGTGGGAGTAGCTTGCCGCCCATGTGACCTGGTGGGAGTGGCTTGCCGGCCATGTGCTCTCTCTCTCTCTCTCTCTCTCTCTCTCTCTCTCTCTCTCTCTCTCT